TTATTTTTTTCCAATTATGTTGATGATGTCTTAATGCTGTCCTTCTTTCTTTATTTCCTTTCATGAAAAAAATTAACCTTCCCCTATGAAAGCTCATTTCATACTTTCCTTCCCCCATAATTTAGTACATATTTTTCTTTTTCTTTTTGGTAGAATTCAAGGTATGGTGCAAACGGCTTGGTGTGCCGTGGTTAAAGTGGTGGTGGGGTGTCAGGCAACGGACAACAAAGGATCATGCGGCAGTGGAGGGGAGGCTCACCCTCCTGACTCTAAGCGTAGAATAGTGACTGAATTTTCTTTCCTAAGAAGTAGGAAGTAACATTTAATCTTCAGTTTTCAATGAAGAGCCTGGGGACACAGAAAAAGAATGATAGGTGTGGTGTTGATAGATACAAAACGACAGTTGTTAGTGCCATTCATCATCTCTGAAAGTAGGGAAACCATTAGTTCACTTCCTCATTCATTCATTCAATTAGCATTAAATACTTACTAGTGCCCAGTATTGTAGCTAGGCCATGAAAAGCTCATGGAGAAATGTAAATTTTAGGCATTATAAAGGTACTTAGAGAAGGCAGGTCTGGGTAAGATAGCATAGTGATCAGATAATTAACATTACAGTAACATATGTAAGTGGCCAGTATGGATGATGCTAAGTGGTGAAAGAGTAGGAAACTGGCTGCCTGTGGAATATTGTGTATATTAAGAATTTATTTTTATTTTGGTAAACTTTTGTACACATGCCTTAGTAATATATCAAGGAATATCAAATAATTTTTTGTAGCATAGTAGATGCATTTCAGTTGAATTTGTTTAAAAAAGGAAGAAAATATTTACCAATTAAAATAAATGTAGAGACATTGTATGGAGTAAAATTTTTCACATTTTACATTTAGATTCTGTTTACATTTTGACCTTAGAAAGGAAGAGAGGTATGATGCTATGAATATAATGGATGTCAATCATAATTTTTAAACATTGCATTACAGATGTGTAAGCAGGAGACTCTAGGCTGACTGCATTTATGGCAAAATTAGTAAAAAGATCAACTTAAAAGTTATATTAGGGTATCAGGCACTGATAACATTCTACTGCTTGTACTACTCACTTAGGAAGGTAAAATGGAGATTTTTCATCTTACACATCTAGCTCCCTTTTTTAAATTGGCAAACACTGACTTTTTCCGCTGCATTTCTACATAAATGGACTCTTGCCAGCTTGTGTGTGTACATGTGGATGTGTGTTTATAGCTAGGCATACTGTCACTGGTCCTGTTAGCTCACCCTATCTGCATTCTGGGGTTAAAACCTTTTTCTCTTTATAGATACTTTAGAGAAGTAAGAACTTGATCGTGGTTCTTTGCAAGTTTGTCGTTTGCTGTCAGATCACTCAGACTGACACAAATAACTGTTCTGAAAGTGTGTTACTAGAATGTTCCCTCTGGGAGTCCACTGTGTCCAGGGCTTTAGCTATGAGGTTGCCAGTGTTCTTATTTTGTACTCTAGCTTTGTGTGAGCAGATACACAGGATCAGTGCCTTTTGTGTCCTTTCTGGTACAGATTCCTATACTTGGGATGGTCTTCTTTGTTCACCGACTTTCTTCCTATTCTTTAAAGTCCAGCTCAAATAGCTAAGCTACTCCATGTCCTGTTGCAGGAAATTATTCCTGCTTCTTACACACTCAGCTGTGCTTATCTGACATTGATCATAAGATGCCTTGCACTTTATACAAGTTTAGTGTAGTTGACACACATTGAAAGAACATGTACAGTTATTTTGTAGGACAGCAAGGTTGAAAGAACTCGGGGCATCTAGACTGACAAAGCTAGCTCTGCCTCTCACTCCTTTTAACTGTTTACTGAGCTTCAGCTTCTTTGCTTCCAAATAGGAGACTACCAATGGCCATCTCGTGCTTTGAGGAATACATGAGATAATGTATGCAAAGAGCCATCATTTCTTACGGGTTTGCTATATCCCAGGAATTGGGCAAAATTCTTCATGTAACATCCTCCCATAATGCCTGCATAATGCCTTGCATAATGCCTGCAAGTGTTAATTCCTTTACTCCCAATCCTGGGAAAGAGTAGGTAGTCACTGAATATTTCTCAAATGAACGAGAACTGGACTTGAGCTGGCAGCAGGGCCCTGTCTGCTGAATCAGCCTCTCTGAATCAGCAGCTGAGATGCATACAACTGACAGCTTCAGAAAGGGAAGATACCAATGAGTTGTAGTTCCCACCTATCTGTCTGAAAGGCTGCCAGAGTGTGATTCCTAAGCATGATGGAGAGCTCATGGGGAAGAGAGGTTATGTTGCTGAAGTACACTGTTTCCTTTCCCACCATTTCTCACTATTCTTCCCTCCCCCGTCCATGTTGATGGATTCAGTCCAGAAGAGGTGCAGATCTTACTCTGAGTCACTCTAGGGTTGTATTCAGTGTTGCATTTTTACTATATCCCATGGAATGTAAGGATATTGCAGATCTACATTCCTAGCCAAAAAAAAAAAAAGAAAAAAAAAGAAAAAGAAAAAAAAGTTAACCAAAGCACTGTATCTATTTAGTGGTAAATGTCTCAGGAAAGTTAGGTGGAATGAAAATTCCACCTAAATAAAAAATGACTCCCACTCTTGGAGTCTTATAAGTGAAGAGAATTTGGGGGATCTCCAGGTTGATGATTCTAACTTTCCCAGTGTTTTATTTCCATGAGCCATTGATTAAAGTAGGGAGTAGCACTATATTTTTCTCTTCCAGCTAAGCTATTCCATTCAAGTGGGAAGTTTTGGAAGCTTCTGTAAGCCCCTTACGAGACCATATCATGCATCGAAAACATTGTATTTGAAGTGATATTTGAGGGACATTAGAAAGATTTTTTGCAGCCTCCACCCAGCCTTGTCTTGTTGCTGTGGAGCAGTTTGTGAAGACCAAGAGTCTGGATGAAGAGAACTTCCCGTGATGCACTGAAGGGTCAGTGTTCACATCTTGCTCTCCTCCTGAAGGCTGGAGTTAATGAGGAAGAGTTTTTATGTGAATGTCAGGCATGTTGCAATAACTGGCCACAATGGAATAGTCATGGCAATTTCCAGCACTTGGTTTCTTTGTTTTTGTGATGTTGCTGCATGCTTCATTTTATGAGTATTTGCTTTCCTTGTGTGTGGTTGAACCCATAGATTGCCACTTGGGCTTGGATACTTGCATTTAAAAGGAGATGAAGGAGAGGGAGAAACTAGAATGCTGACAGAATGATATATCTTATTTCCCTCCCTCCACTTCTGCTGACAGATATTCTAGTGATTAATATTCTGATGGGTTTGTGTCTTTGGTAAAGGGAAAAAAATCTTCCCTAAAGTGAGTCTTGAAAATCAGATCATAACAAGACATAGGAAGTACTGTGAAAATTGGCCTCTTTTGGGTCAATATCATGGATGCAGACCAATTCAAATAATGTGTTTCTGAAATAAGATAAACGAAAATTGTCAATAATCTTTTTGGCATACTTTTCTGGGGCGGATCATTTGTGAGCTTGAGGGTTTCTATTTTGATCGAAGCATCAACTACCTGAATGCTAATTTGTATTTGAGTGACAGCCCAAGAACAGAATATAAGGACTGGTTAAATTCTAAGTGTCTTGAGATATCCTCATTCGTTTCATTCATGTGAGTGAATAATACTCTCACTGCAGAAAGGCCTAACCAGGAGACTTGTTTTGTATGCATTGTGCTTTATATGTGTACTTTATATACATTGATTCCCAAGATAGAGGTCTGTGCATCTGAGGCAATACATGTGGGGGACCACCAACAGTTGACCAACCTATCTCTTCAGAGCTCAGATCAAGCCAAGCAGAGAGGGCCTGGGGTCACAGCTTAGATGGGGTATGAAGCTGAGCTTGTCGAATTCTTAAGGAGAAAGTGCTGCTAATAGATGCAACATATGCAGGGAATGTGCCTCCATTCCTAGCAGCCTGTTTAGAATTCTACATCTTTGTAACATTTCCATCACCTTCCTCTCGGCTCTGCAGAAGATACCAAAGTCATCCTCAGTGTTTCACCTATGCATTTTCGAAGTTACGCGCATCCAATCCTGTGTATTAGAAAGACATTTTATCTGTTTTTCACTTCTTAGTTTTTACTCTTTCCGTGTAATTACCGGGCATTTTTTTTTTCTCCTGTTCTTCAGGATTTGACTTCAAATCCCGTCTAAATGCTCACGTTTTTTTCATGTCGAAGAAAAAAACTAGTTCGACAAATAAGGCCCAAGAAGACGAAGTGTTTCTCTGCTGTTTGTTGTTACCCGGTTCTGGAGTTCTTTCACTCTTTGGCGCACGATTAGGAGTGTGTGTGTTAACACGTCGAGAAGGAGACACGAGCTTGGCCTTGGAATTGGCCAGCCTGGTGACCAGCGAGCCCGCCCCCACCCTTTCCCCCTCCCCCTTCGGCGCTCACACTCAGGAAGCAGCTGGCTACGGGCCGGCCCTCGCAGCCACACTAACATCCACTCTCCTCCCAGAGCCGCCTCCCACCCTCCCTCCCTCTTCCCCTCTCCCCGCAGCACCCGCGTCCGCACTGCGCCGTGCCGCAAGGGCAGCCCGGAGCGCTCTCGGGCACCAGCGCAGCCCCGGCCCCCTGCCCCCTACGCTGCCCGTAGCCGTCCAGGCTCGCACCAGCACTTCCCCGACAGAACCCGCCGAAACCACTTAGCCAGTATACCAGGCCAGCCCGCAGACGCATCCCTCGGCCCAGGGCGAGGATGAGCAGGACAGGCGAGGCATAAAGTCGAAACTCAACTTTTTAAAAACACCATTTGCATGCGTGTGTGAGTGGGGGTTGGGGGGGGCAGAATGAGCTGATGCCGAGGGTCCAGCCAACCCCCTTCTGCCTTCTCCTCCTCTTGTCGCTGCTGCCCTCGCACACGCGCGCGCACACAGGGCACTGGGGCCGGGTTTCCGCGCTCCGTCCCCAGGCTTGGATGGGAGTTTTCATTTCAGAAGGAGGCAGAACCCAAGGAGCGTGCTGAAGGGCTGGAGCCCCAATTTCTCCTCGCCAAGGCTGGCCGCCTGCTGTCACTCGAGCAGGCTGGCGGGGAAGGGACCCGCACACCGACTTTGTTGTGGAAATCCCGGTTACCTGGTAAGTGGATGCCGTAGGAACTTTGCTAGCAGGCAAGAGACGGGAAGAGACGGGGCGCTTTAGAATGCGGGGGAGTTAACGCTCAGAGACACAAACTAAGGATTAGAAATAGTTTTCCATGCTGAGCCAGTGTTTGTGCGGGTTTAAGGACGCACGCACCCCACCCCCAGATTCTCTAAAAGATGTGTTTACAGGGATAGTGACCCTCAATGAGGAATCACGCAGTGTTATTGTCAGTTGCCTAAGCGTACAGTGTCGAGAATGGAAAGGAAATCAACAGGGTTTTAAAGTTTCTCTAATTAGGGAGAGTTTTTTGACTTTTGTTTTTTCTTTTAAACTACAGGGGGCAGAGGGCTACATAAGCAGGGCCAGTTACAGGACGCAGGGGCATGGTCGTGCATGCCGCCCACGAGTCCTCACTGAAGGGACACTTTAGAAAAGTGGTAATTGATGGGGTGACGTGAGGTCTCTCACGCACACGGGGCTGTAGTTGTCTTTTCCAGTTCCACGTGTTTGTGGAGTTCCACGAAGGCTGTTTTCCACGCTTGTGTATATTGCTCAAGACGATTTCCCCATTGCTCCAGGAGGTCTTTGGGTTGGGGGTATGCTAACTCGTCTTGGGACGGTCCGGTGACCCGCATCTTCCCGGCCTCCCACGCTGCAAAATGCGCCGACACATTCAGACGCGCACACTCCCCACCGGGTTCGTCACCTCGCGTTTACATTTTTATGGGGCCTGACAAAATGTCAGCACTGTTTGGAAAATGTCTCAGTTTCAGGGACTTTGTCCTGCGCATGGTTCCAGTTCCTATAAATGACCCTGTGTGTATTTTGAAGTCCGCCGGGTTGCTCTCTGGAAAGCGTGAGTGGGCAGCCGTCTCCCTCCTAGACACACACCTTGCCTGGAGCGACACTTCCAAGTTACTCACTGGAGCTGACAAGTCACTTCAGGGATGAGGAAGTCACCCAAGTGTCTGGAAAACTTGGCCCTGACAGATTTGTCATCCTATGGATGATTCAATTAGGTACCGGAGGGAGAAACTTTGGGAAAGGCTGTTTCTGGCTTCAAGGGGCGCGCCTTGGGCTTGGTGGGGTTTTTGGGGAGAAACAAGTGAAAGGAGACTTGGGGTCAGGATACTGGCGCGGCGGGGCCGGGCGCTCCCTGGAGCCGCGAGCGGGAACACGGCCCCTTGCGGATTCCGGCTTTGGCCGGGCCGGGAAGTCTGCTGGTGCCGGCCGCCCGGGCTTCCCAGAGGAGGGCCAGCGGCGGCACTCTTCAGCCCTGACTTACTCAGGACGGGGTTGCACAACAGGAAGCTGGCACGAGTTTGTTTTGTCTTTGCAGGGCTCGCTCCGGGACGGGGCTGAAGGTTTGCGGCCCGGGGCTGCTGGGGAGTGACGGGCGGCAGCCGCTCACCGTGTGCGGGGCCGAGTCGCCTCCGCTCCCGGACACGCCCCTCGTTCCTCGCCTCGGGGCCCAGGATCGCGGGCCTCGGACCCCGGGCGCGGGCCAATCTAGGGGCTCAGGAACCCTGAGGGCTGCCCTCCTCCCGCCTTGCCCCTTGCCCCACGCGCCTCTCCCTTGCCAGGCGGGTCCCCAGCACCTCTCCGGGTCTCTCCAGCTTTCCCCCAGGAAGACAGCCCCCTGCCCTTCTGCTCTGTACTCTTACTGCCCGGCCCTCCGCCTCCCGAAGGCGTCCGGGACGCCTAGTGGGCCCTCAGCCCCGGAGCATCTAAACCCGGGGCAGGGGGTGGCGGTGTGGAGGGTACTTCCGGAATCGCGGTGCGCGGCGTCGGTAGCGACTGGCCCTGCAGCGGCAACTGGGTTTGATAAAGAGGAGGGCGTTGAACCCTCTCCCCACCTATTTCCAGGACATCAGCATCTCCCAGAATTTGGGCCCGTGGGCCCTGGAGTTGGTGAGGAGAGGGATGTTATATAGCTGTTCCCAGTGGGCCAATTCCCTTCAGGTTATGGGAACTGGAAATCTCAAATATAAATTGTTAAAGCTAGATGGAACCTTCCTCGGCAGTCACCTGCGGATGAGGAAACTGAGATCCAGACTGTTAGGGATTTTGCCCAAGCCCTCAGAGCCAGTTGTCACAGACACAGGGCAAACACTCAAGTTTCCCAGTCTCAGTTCAGAGAACATTTTATTGGCCTGAAGGTGAACTCAAGACAAATGCAGTCGCCTGTCCCCTTTGAGCCTTGTTGAGTCATGATTTCTGCTTTGGGAGGTAGCCAGACGTCTGTTTCCCCCTTCTGTCGCGTTCCCCACTAGACCTCCCTTTTTACACTAAACTGGAAAACTTTTTTTTTGGTATAAAATTGATTTGTGTTATTTTAAATCCTCCCCATTCCTTCTCTTCTCCTTCCTTCTAGTTTGTTTCCAGTGGTGATGTGTGAGACAGGTGCAACCTGCAAAGGTTTGCAGAAAAAGGTTGCAGTGAAGGATGTTGGGAGAAAGTTTGAAGCCATTTAGAGACAGGAGTGCGTGAAATTGTTATTTTTGCAATTGGGAACACACTGAAGTTTAGGGATTGCCTTTAAATGCATTACAGTTGTTACATGTTTTCACTAGGTGTCTATGCAGCCAGACTAGCTCTAACACTGCCTTTGAAAGGAAGAGTGGGGGGGCATTTCTTTTCCATTTACTTTCAGAATGACTTACTGGTAGTAGAACTCCTTTCCTTTGTTGCTCAGAGGGCCAGCAATCCTTGAGTGGTTAAATCTAAGTGCTGCTATAACTTTCTCTCTCCTTGGTTCAACTTAGCTCAGTTTTGAGGGATAATCTTTTCTATGACCCCTGATTCCACCCAAGTTTCTTAATTGCAGTCAGTTGGTCAGTGATTTAATGCCTGGGATTGTTTTTTTTTTTTTTAATAGGAATGACTATTATTCCGAATAGGAAAAGCAACTTTTTTTTTAATGGACTCCGGAGTTCACCTAGTAGGTGAAATTCCTTTTGGGCCAAAATAGTCAGGGTAGGGAGGTTAAATATGTTTTGTGCCAGCCCTGCCTTCACTTATATGGCAGCCAGTGGTCTTCCCATCATTTTAGACGAGAGCTCAGTGTTCTCAGTCTTTCTCTGTGTTCTTTCCTGCTAGTAAGTTAAATCTGAGGACACTTTTGCCACTGTTGTCCTTCTCATACTGTAGTTACTGATCTCTGGAGTTGGGATGTTAATTTGTAATTCTTTCATAATAGAGAAGAAATACTTCTTGAGGGAGATCCTTCAGAAACTGGCATCCTGTGCACATTCTCTTTCCTGGAGGTCATTTTCTGTAATTATTTTCTGTAGACAATATTTTAAAGAAGATGGAAATACAGGACTTAACCCTTTAACTGTTCACTAAGTTTGGTGGACGGATAGACTCAATCAGTACTGAAAATAAAATTAAAAAACAAATAAAAGGCACATTGGAAATCTGTGCAACAAAAACATGCTGCCTTATTCTTCCAGGAGATTGAGACATATAATAAAATCTTTAAAATGACACTAACATGAAGTTTGATTAACAATTGCCCAAATTCCAAGTTTTCCATTTATTTCCATGTATTTACAGACAGAATTGACACAAAACTCAATTTTTAATTGAAATAAAATTTTGATACAGAAAAGTATATCTATATCTTAAGCTTGATGAATTTTCACAAGCTGAACACAACTAGATAATTAGCATCCAGATCAAGAAACAGAACATTGTTAACACCCAGAAATGTTTTTATTATTTTCTTTCAGTCGCTGTGTTCCTTCCAGAGTAACTGCTGCCTTGACTTCTAACATATGTTAATTGTACCTGTTTTTAAAAAATCGTTATCCGAGGATATGTTTATTGATCTTAGAGAGAGGAATGGGGGAAAGAGAGGGAGAGGAAGGGAAAAGGGGGGGAGAGAGAGAGAGAGAAAGAGAGGAACATTGATGTGAGAGGGAAACATCGATCAAACCTGCAAACTGGGTATATCCCCTGACCAGGAATTGAACCCGCAGCTTTTTGGCATATGGGATGATGTTCCAACCAACTGAGTTACCAGGCTAGGGCATAATTTTACCTGTTTTTAAAGTACTTTATGTACTTTATATAAATGGAGTAATTCAACATGCATTCTTTGGTCTGGTTTCTTTCTCTGACATAACCTTTTAGTAAGTCAGATAATTTGGACACTAATGAAACAGAAGCCCTACTTTCTCTCCTTAGTGACGGTCTGATTAGTGAGACTGAACAGACAGGAGTGAAATGTATTGTGTGAAGAAGCAAGCTTGAGGTGAGCATGGGGAATGCTGAACTGCGCCTTTCACCACAACAATCCAAAATGCATTTGGCAGTCCCTCTGTGAGGGCCGACAACCCCACAGCAAAAGGAGTGCCTGGTCCTCGTACTGAAATGGCTGTTTGTTGTGTGGCTTTTAGTTAAGATTTTTCATTGTTCATGTGTGTGCCAAGGTAAAGGCAAGAGCAATGTGCCTACTCAGTAGAGTGAATAGAGTTTTTATGCCACTCTTTTCTAATAGAGAAGAAATAGATTAGGAGGAATAGACTAGGAAATATGCAATTATAATTAAAGTGGTCAAGACACAGAGTGTAGGATTCATGCTTGTGCTGTCATACCTTACTTATACTGTGTTTATTCATACACTAAATGATAAATGTACAGGATACAAATGTATAAATATATAATTACATATTGTATCTATAGCATCTTTTTCAGTATAATGAGAAAAATTATATAAAAATATAAATATGTGAACATATAAATGTAGTATGAAAAATCTATATGTATGCTACATGTAGTGTGAAAAAGATAAATAAATAGGTATAATATGAAACAACCTAGTATATATAATAGCTGGGGAATGTTCAAAGATAAATTATACATAGCACCAAAGCTTAATGAAATTAGAGTTTAGACAGGAAGATAAACACAGGCAAATAACTAGAAAGCAATGTAGAAAGTTATCAAGGTTAAAAGCGAGGTATGTAGAGTAAAATGGTAATATTTAT